TGCTCGTGGAAGGCGGAGGCTTCCCGGAAGAAGATCTGATAGAAGAGCCGTCAGAAGAAGAAGAAGAAGAGGAGGAGGTCAAACAGGGCATGAAAGAGTGGAAGAAGAAAGAAGAAACACCACGAAGTTGGAGACTTGAACAGTTGCACAACCGACTGGGCCATCCAACCAACAACACCCTGGCCAAGATGCTCTCATTGTCAGGTGCGTCAAAGGAAGTTGTTCAACAGGCAAGGCTGCCAAGAAACCAGAGCACCAGGACGATACATGAAGGCAAGTCAAACCTTGAGGGCAACCATCTTTTGCAGGGAGCTGCATTGTGACCTGAAGTATCTTCATGACTGCAAAGGGAAGCGTGGGTCCAATTCATTCTTGTTGGACTTCATCTGGAGAAGGAACCTCCTTCTTCAGCTTCTGCCATTCTTCCTTGTTGCTCACCAGAACTTGGTAGAGGCCGTCAGCCATCTCCAAAGACTTCGTCTTGCTCTGGCGGGCTTTCATTGGTCTCCTGATAGAGGAAGAGCGCCAACCCTCTCCACAGGAATGGTGCCTTTCTTCCTGGTCTTTGCTTGACTTCACTTGCCTCTTCCTGTGTGACCATTGCCGTCCCATCCTTCTCTCCCAACATGACCGTTCGCCGAGAGCATCGCGCAGGAGAAAAAATCACAGCCTGAAGCGTTTGGTCAACTGTTCTTCAGACATATGTCCCACCTGCTTATCCAGCCCTCTCTTCTTGAACTGCATGAGAACATCGTCGAGCAGGTGTTGCCTCAGTCTGTCTAGATAGCCCTCTTGTTGTGGCTTGCCGACTATCTTCAGCACTTCTTCTGGCAGCTTCCCTTGGGCTCTTTAGCTGGCTCTTCATTTTTCTTCTTTTCCTTTGCGCCATCCAGTCGAAGTCTGTCTTCCTTCTTCGGCTCTGTCCTTACTCCTTCTTCCAGCTCCTTGAGCTATCACACCATCATGGGCCTCCCATCCTGGTGCTTCTTCTTGCTCCTTGCTTTCAATGGGTTCTGGAGCTCCTGTCATATCTTCATAGACCTTCTCTCCTTCTTGCCATTTCTGTTTGAACTCCTCGGTCGCCAGCAGCCTCCTTTTATAGCCACCTCCCTCCAAGTGTGACGCCGCTCGGTTGGCGGCCGAGACCAAAAGACAACGTCCTCGCCAGCTCACAAAGAATCTTTGGCGTGATTCCTTGACAAGGGTCATAGCTGGCCCTTTCCAGAATCCTGGTTCCTTGGTGAACCTTGCGCTCAAAGGCTTGGGAGCGTAGAAGTAAACAAGCTCTCCATGTTCAAAGTCTCTTTCTTCACCTTTTGGCCAGCGCCTGAGAGCTTTCCTCAGTTTGCTTTGGACATCGTGCCTGAGCAATGTTGCTCTTGCTGCAGCTCTCATTTCTGCAGCTCTTTGGACCTCTCCTTCTAGGGTCAAGGCTTCGCGAAGTGACAAGTTGCCCTCCACGTCCTCGTCCAAGAGGTCTGGAAGCATGGAGTGTCTTCCAAAAGCAAGCTGATACGGTGTATAACCACCTTTTGTGATCGTGGAGTTCTTTGCTTGCACAGCCGCACAAAGGGTGTCCTTGACTTGGGCCCTTCCTTCAACTTTGAACTGCCAAACCAAAGAAGCGAACATCGTGCCCAGCCGCGCCCCGTGGCCCTCAGCAAATCCATGCTGTCATGCTGACGTGGCACCTGTGGTCTTGCTGTGGATCCCGTGCTGCTCAAGGAAGGAGACAAAATGGCCATCAAATTATCCTCCCTGGTCTAAGCCATGTAGTGAGATCCAGTGCTGAGGAAAGAGTGGTAGTCCTGGATCAAGAATCAGGTCACCAAGAGATTGACTCCAGATGAAGCCCGAAAGGTGGACCCAAGGAACATGTTTCGTGCACCACCCCGCATAGCGCGGGTGAACAAAGGGGCCATGCAGAGTTTTTTCCAACCCGATCCAGGATTGTGCTCCCAGGACACCTTGACCCGCGCTTAGGAGAATACTGGTCTGATGCACCGACAGCTCTATGGGTCAGTGCCCAAATGGCCAAGGCAGCTTGCTCAATGAAACGATGGGCTGCTCTCACTTTTGACGTCGCCACTGCCTTTTTGACTGGGAAGCATGTGGAAGTGAAGCGTTGGTTCGAGCACCACCTCATGGCCTTCCAGCCATCCCGAGCCCGCAGTCCAAGCCAGGAGAACTCCTCCGCATCGTGAAGAGCGCATATGGCTTGTCGGAGGCACCACGGCTGTGGTATTTGCGGGCAAGAAAACTTTTACTCGAAGCTGGCTTTGAAGAGTTGAGCATGGCCAAGGCCACCTTCGTCGTGAAGTCCAAGAAACACCAGCAGGTACAAGCTATCCTGCGCCTGCACGTCGATGATGGACTGCTGGTCGTGTGTCGGAAGGTGATGGAAGAGATAAAAAAGTCCATGAATGACCATTTCGCCTTCAAGGAGTGGAAGAACTTAGAGCAGGTCTCAGAGGACCGATATGACAATTTCGTCTTCACCGATGACATGTCGGACTACATCGACAAGCTGGGATGCCAAGGACGAGACCCCTTTCAGAAGCTCCATTACAAGGCCCACAGTTGTCAGCCTTTCGGAGGCTCATCATGCAGCTCAGATGAGCGGCCCTCCGTTGCTGGTGAGCTACTTTGATGCCTCCTTGGGGAAGTCCAACAGAGCCCAGCAAGGAGAGTTGCACCTCATGACCACTACTGCAGCGCTGCACACTCCGGCACCCGCATGCATGCTTGAGTTCCGCTCAAACCGAATCCACAGGGTGGCTCGCAGCAGCCTAGCGGCTGAAGGGTGCGCAATGTCTAGCGCAGGCGACAGGCAGTTGTTCAATCGCATGCTTCTGGATGCCTTGCTCTATGGCAAGACCCACATCGGCGCCTGGAACTCAAGACTCCCGGCTGTTTGATCAGCAAAGGGATTGCGTGACCACCTCCATAAAGCAGGTGGTGTGGCATCCGAGCGCCAGGCGGCATTGGATAGGCCGTTGATGAAACAGCTCATTGAGGATGAGATTGTCGCCTTGCGCTGGACACCCACACGGCGGCAACTAGCCGACCCTCTGACCTGGAGACCGTCAAAGAGTCTGGAATGCTTTGTCTCATCCAGACGGAAAGCGACAAGATCGAGGAAGAGCGCCAAGCTGGGATCCGAAGGGGCCAACGCGAAAGGCGCAAAGAACAGATGAAGGCCAACACCAACACTCTCCCTCTTTGATGTGAAGAGTCGGTTGCACTGGCATGTTCGCTTGTGGAGTTGGCTTGAATGCTTGGCGTTGATCGTCGCGGCATTCTTCACAGACATCTAGATGCTCGCATTGCTGTTGTGCGAAAGGAGCGCTGCTTCTGCATTTGCACTTGCTCGGCCACACCTGGTTTTCCCTTTTGCGGATTTTGGGGTTTCCTTGCGCTCGGGGAGTTTGCCGCCCCTCGAACCCACAGTTGCAGCCTCAGAGAGTCTATCAATCGTCTTTCTTGCTGTGGTGCTATGTGTGCCAGTAGTGGCTGAGCACTTCATGTAAAGATGTCAATGAATGTAGACAGGAGCTCTACAAACAATGGGCAAAAGAAGGCAAGTGAAAAAAGGCTGTGCTTGCAACAACTCTGTGTCTCAAGTGAACCCAACAACATACTGTATATATACCTGAGAAAGGAGAGGACGAAAGCCAGCGAGGGACCAATATGGTCGTGCAAGACTGGGAGGAAAAAATAGCGGAGCACATATTGTTGAATGCCTGTAGCTTTCGTGGAGCTTGTATCAACGTGGAGTAGATCAAGATCGGAGCACAGCATGAAGTGTTGAATGTTTTAGGTTTTTTCGACTTTCCTGGCGCGGTGCTCTCTGGAGGGCCCCTGTTTGGTGGTCTACTTGAGAATCCGTGTAAAAATAAACGTCAGTGAAGACCAGGAGAATGATGCCCGAAATGGTTTTCGTGGTTGCGTTGAAGTGCGTTTCGGGTATCGTGCATCAATGCGAAGCCCTATAGAGAGCAGGGCTGGGAGGAAAAAATAGCAGAGCACCCATAGTTGAAAGCTTGTAGTTTCGTGGAGCTGGTATCACTGCGACTGAGATCAAGATCGGAGCACAGCATGAAGCGTTGAACGCTTGCAGCTTTCTTGCTTCTCCTCTTGCGGCGCTCTTATCCCCAAGCCTCTACCTCGCCCAACTGGACATGCTCAACATCGTTCGCTCCCAGAGCGTTCACTCTTTTTTGCTTGGTCCTTCTTGGTATGATCATGCCCTGCTCAGGGCAAATTGTCTCCAGACCCCTTCATGATGCTAATGATGCACTGCTCGGCGTCCATTGCATCACTCGCATCACCAGACCCCATTTTCATTGCTTTTCTGACCCTCGCTTTGGAGCGCTCTCCCCCACCAACCTCCGGGTTCGCCCTCTCAAATGGTGAAATATTCAAAATCGCATGGGAACCTCATGACCCAGATGGTCCTGCTACGGTACAACGTATGTCCAAATTTCACAGCTCGACGGCATATGCGTTGCTAAAATCGCTTGATGAACTTGCATCCGCATAACGACTAAATTTGGCCTAGGCCAAGCATTGCCCATACCTCGTATTATTTTGTTCCAGAATACATCTGGGGTTTATTCGATGGTACGCTCTTTCCGATGATGAGAAATCGGGATTCCTCACGCCAGGCGCATTAACCATATTCTCGTGATCGATATTATGATATGCACCCCGGGAACTAGGACCGAATTCTTCAACAACGAGCTAATGACAATTATGAAATACAAGATAACAAACATCTAGGAAACCCACACCCCCTTAACTCACTTCGTTCGCTCTAAGAGCTCAAGCCTAGCCTATCGGCTGGCTTTCGTAATATATATATATATAGAGATAGATACACTATTATACACGCAGAGCCTAGGCCTGACAGCTGTAAACCACCGTGGCACACCCTGAGCGGGTGATGGCCAGTCCAAAATGTCTGATAAAATCTATTGCGAATAATCTTGTCGAGACACCACACTGGGCACAGACTCCAGCCGCGCCAGCCGGACAGACGATTTAGAGGATCCACTCCGGGATGTCAGGATCAACCTGTGGTGTCCATCGACTTCGAGAAACACGTGATAAAAACCATTAATTTCGGAAACCAAGTCGAACCTGTGGCGGTACTGAGGAAGACAGAGCAACATAAAGCAACTGTGGCGCAGCCTGGCCTCGATGCCCCAAGCTCAACAAGCTCTTGGGCTGCCACCAAGCCGAGGCCTCCAAGCCGGTTCCAGCAAAAAAAGGCAAAAAGAACAACCATCACACATCCGAGAACAAATCAAAATTAGATCTCTAACAAGTGCTGAACATGGCCTCTGGAAATGTAAATAGTAATTACATTCAGAACAAAAAGACTTGAAGACTCCTTGATTGACATCCTTCAACCATTTGTAAAATGCTGTTCTGCGCCTCCAAGCCCACCTGTCAGCAAAGCAGTGCCCAGGTTCACCTGCAGCGCGTCCCGATTCTGCAAGGCCGCGGCATCGTAGCGCTGGAGCCGAGGTGCCTGGTCAAACAAGACTGTCAAGCCAACCCGAAAAGATTCAAACACCTCGTTCATTGAACAAACAATCTAAATAAGCAAGACGAAGTGGACTTGAATCTTGAGGTGCAGCTCCTGGGAACTGCCCACAATCTCTAGCTCCTGGCTGGCACAGATCGCATTCAGTCCACCAACCTCAGGAACAAGCTTAAAGACCTGCCCAAAACGCTCCAACAATGTGAAACTCGGTGACACACCACTTGAGCTTTGTCGCACTCCAAGATTTTGATGGTTGTCTGCAGTTCCAAGCGAGCCTTGCTCTCTCAAAGATTTCAGAGAATCAGAGTCACATTTTGCCCAAATTGAGTTGCTTCTTCACAGATTGTTTCTTGCTTCCTGTTCAGGTGACGTCTGGGGCTCCAAGCTGATCTGGCTAAACCCCAAAATGCCCCAGTGCTCTGGAAGCATGACTCCTCGAATGTTAACATCTTGTCCTGTTTCGTTTCAGCCGTACAATGTGCTAAGGCTTTGCTACCAGGTGCTCACGTAGACTTGCACTAGTTCCTGAGGGTTGGAGATCACCACGATGGCCATGTGGGCATTGGATTCATGAAGTGCTTTGAAGAAATTAATCAAATGCACCAAAGCTAGCCCAGGCACCTTAGCCGCATCAAACATGACAAGCAGCTGGATTCTTATATACTCTTATGTCGCTCTGTTTCATCTTTGTAATAAAAATCTGCCGGAATCTGTCGCGAAGTCAATGTTAGGTAAACAGTGAAGCAAACGGACACACAAATAGAATACTGTATCGTGCTGAGTGGCTTCAGCACTCTTGTCACAAATGAAAACGGCGGTCTTCCCTTTCAGCATGTCTGCGAGTTCTGCGGGACCTGGAATCGCTAAAACAAACGTGGCCACACAAACCGCAGACCATCTACACAATTCAACAAACGTGATACAACCCAAACCTAAAGGCCGATTCGCTCCCACCAGCCATCATGCTGCCCTTGTTGTACAATGTACACACACACTTATGAACATGCGTACTGACTTGAAAGCGGGTCGCCACACGCCAGCCTAAGTGAAAACACCTAAGGAAACAGGGCGCGTATGTGTAAAACAAGCGTCCATAAAACTGCAAAACTACCAAAGCTCTCAAAAGATCCAAGGTGAAGCGTTGATGCATTAGCCCTTTACAGCGCTAGAAGATTACTGCAAAAAACCGAAGTGGAACAGTTTGTCCATTAAGTAGGTTCCCCTCCAAGCAGGTAATGTCGACATGGGATTATTACTCAAGCCCAGCTGAAGCCTCCAATAATAGACTAATTTGATCTCTGCAAACCTCCCCCTAATAATCACTTCCACCCCCCCTACTACTCAAGCCCAGCTCCCCCAAACAAAAATATAATTAGTTCTATATGTATATTTATTTATATTTACTTTTTTAGTAGTCAATATTATCTTTTGGTCCATGGTGAAACTGATCTTCCAATCCACTCTTGTCTCATGCCATCTCTTTGAGATATAGCATTCTGATCCACCTTTTTCCCATGTTGATCCTCTCATGCATCAATCATGTCTGATCATTCTGTTTGTTCTTCTCATCCTTCCCAGCAGCAGCAATCTGTGCAGCCAACCATCCCCCAAAACCCCAAAAACTCTCTACCCCTCACACAGGCCCTACCACCCCCTAATAGTAGGGACCCCTCCCCCTATTAATCAAGCTCACCCTCTGGCCTCCATCTTGTTTTCCAAGAGTTCTCATGTGGTTTCCATCTCGTCCAACCCTTTCATCTCAATTCTTCCAAATACCAATTCCCTTTCATCCCAACTCTTCCAAATACTAATTCCCTTTCATCTCAATTCTTCTGAAAACCAATTCCCTTTCAGCCCAATTCTTCCAAATACTAATTCCCTTGCATTCCAATTCTTCCAAATCAAGTTCCCTTGCATCATCAGGTCATCATCTTTTTTAAGGGGATGTGGTCTGCACCCAGACCTTGTTGACCTTGTAGGGGGGGGAATTGATTTATCCTATGTCGACATTACGTCAATCCGGCGTCCCGGATTGATTTCACCAGCGCACATCCAGTGTCTTCGTTGGCGCAAGACTGCATGGGCTGCTTGCACCCCCTGCTAAAGAAAATGTAAGCGGTAAAACAATCCGAAGGGAACCTCGTGACTCCAGAGGGTACACACACACACACACGCCTCCCCGAGGGGAGGCGTCTTTTTCTATTAAGCTCCAGACGAGAGTCAGGCTGGGTGAAAGTTGAGCCTATGAGAATCGGTGAATTTCACCCAAGGTTTGATAGGCAGTCAGGGGTAGACGAAGTTGTCCAATGGCATCGTCATGAAGTCGTGGCGCAATCGTATGTAAAGGGCGGTACGGAAATGGCGTATCCTCACGGGAGAACTCATGAATGTAGCCGATGGGGCGTAGACGTTTCGAGTTCACGTAGTAGAGGACAAAGTTCTCCAAAGTATAGGTGCAGGGCACCTCCCAGACCCGCGAGTCTCCGGACCAGGCGGGAGAAGATCACATCCTTTAGATCATCGACCGTGTATTCCTTGTCCTCAATCTAAGCTGCAGTCAAAGTCACGGTGATATAGCTCAAGGGCTGGTGGACCAGGAGACTGATGTCGAGCTCAAAACGAACGGTAAGCAGGTTGGGGACCCAAAGTCTCAAAAGCTCGTCGAATTTCACGCCATTCAGTGGGAATAGTCTGAGTCAGAGGTTCTGGAACACGGAGACCGGGTACAGGAAAACTCGGGCAGTGTAGTTTTTATTTTCCATCCGCAGCGCCGCAGAGGATCGAAGTGACAAGTGGGAAGTAATCAGGTAATCAGGCATGGTCCTCAGTGATGTTGGGGTCCGGAGGCGGTAGTGTGGGAGGCGGAGAAATCGAAGAGGACGTCAACGACATAGATCCCGATCCTGGGCTCGGTAGGGGGCCCTGGAACAGTAGGATCAAGGGGTGAGTCAGTGCCGCCAACCTGAGAAGGGCCAGCGGCTTGACAGGTTCCCGATGCGGAGCAGAAAGAACGAGGCGACAACCGTGGCAGCGCTCAAGTCCTGTTGGTAGCTAGAAAGGTTGTGGATCAACCCATCGATCAGTTGATGCTGTATTTCAGGAGTGAGGCTTCGAAGTTCAGGATTTTTCGAGACATCCAGGTCTGTGAAGCGTTGGACCAGGCTTTGGACCCAGAGGTCCAACCGTTCGTTCTCCAAGTTTTCAACTGCTTGACGCTTTACGCCCCGAGGATGAGATACGTTCTGAAGCAGGTCGAGTCGATGGAGCCGGAGCAGTGGGAGCCGGGGAGCAGAGGTCCCGTGGTGACCGACTGCGTCGAGAGGTCATGGCGCGCGGCGATCGCCGAGAGTGCCGGGATCCATGTCTCTCATGCCTGGAGGCACTGCGACGGGATCCATGTCTCTCTTGCCTGGAAGCACTGCGACCGGCAGGTTGGCGGCGGTCTCGAGAATCCCGGCCACGATCACAATCAGAGCGACGGACAGGACTGCGTTCTCGAGCTCGGGAAGGTGATCGATGATCACGACGAATGCCCCGAGAGCGATGATGACGCTGACGATCGCGACGGCGGTGATCACGCGCACGGTCATCGCGGCCGTCGCGCCCACGTGTGGCGCGATGTCGATCATGGGAGCGGCGGTGTTCCCAAGTTGAGGGTGACCGATCATGGTGTGAAGTGGTACGGGTTCGTGACGACGGTCGCTGCCGAGGTGGTGTGGAGGTGGAGGAGGACCAGGAGCTCGAGCTTGAAGCGAAGTCCCACGCAGTGGACGAGTTTGAGGGGGTGGAAGGGGTGGAAGGTGACCTGGGTTGATATGTGGAGGTGGTGTGGGGGGGAAAAGGGGGACGGTTCGTAGATGTCCGGGGCGCGCGTACTCGGACAGGTCCAGAGTGAACACGAGGTCGAAATGCAAGATTCGGTGGGTCGTTTTCCGTAACGATTTCAGTGCCCGGCGCTGGATGAGGTGGTGCTGTCTCGTCGGCATCGCAGTCCAGAGCATCACCCTAAGTCACCGAAATTAGTAAATTTACATTTTCATTGGATTTACGTAAATTGATGAATGCAATCCCTTCAAGTAAAGGCAAAGTCCACACCTCCTGGCATGCTCAGTCAACAAAAACAAAAATCCATAGCGCAAATATCCTCAAGTACATGTTGTCCTGTAGAAAACCTGCCTCTTTGGAGAAAGCCAACTCACATAAATAGAGACATTTTCTGCTTCAAAATCATGCTCGCAAAAATTTACTCATAACCTAAAAAGTTTACTAATAACCGAAATTGGATTTACTAGTAACCTAAATTGGATTTACTCATAACCTAAATTGGATTTACTATTAAATTTACGTAAATGTTTACGTAAATTTTCCTTAGTAAAACCAAAAATTTACGTAAATTTTATGGTTAGTAAAATTTCTAATTTGGGTGACTTAGGGCACCATCAGGTACACCACGACGATCGCGAGATCTGGAAGACTCCAGACGGCCAACAGGTCTGCGCCGGCGACTCTGTGGGAGGAATCTGAGGAGGCTCGACGTAAGATTCATGATCACAAAGGGTTGTCCTAAGGAAAGTGTGCACTGGCATGACAGGAAGCATAGAGCCGGGGAAAGCGTGTCAATCAAGTGTAAATCTGAAAGGAATTTCCGTGCCCAGGAGGGTTTCTTTTGAGAGCTGTAGTACGTCGAAGAGCTGGGTGCAACTATCGACCTATCTAGAGTTCAGACGCGAGCGAGAGCGCGAGCGAGTCGAAGCGGCAACGACCACGAGGCCATGTAGTATAGTGGCAACCGCAAAGCCATGCGGGGATCGTGTCGTAGAAGTCAAAGGTCGGGAGGCGGAATGGGAGAAACAAATGCGCGAGGGTCCAAGAAGAAGGTGCGTCCACTGCCACGTAGTTCTGAATCTAGCTGTTCCGGGCTCTGGTTCAAGGTGTGAATCAAGCCGAAGGTGGTCATCAACTCATGGGTGTAGTGGAGGGCGGTATGGATGACCTGCATCGCTTGAAGGATGGCAGAGTCCAGGCCACGTAGCTGCATCTGACGATGAGGGGAGGTAACCCGATCCAGGAAGGGAGTGGAGGCAATCGCCAGGCGGGAAGGTAGGATTCTCAGGATGAGCTCCAACGAACCATGTACATGAAGAATCTCCCGATGAAGAACCGCTTGAGCAACCATGGGGATGCCCTCCGTCGGCGCCAATCCAGCAGGAGATGGGGGCATGGCGGGTGGAGCGGGAAAAGGTGGACCTCTAAGGCTCCGGCAGACTCCAACGAGTCTTGAACAAGCTTTGGCCGCTGCGGCCACGTTGCGGCGTGCCCGAAGGCTGCCTACTGCTGACCGCTGCGGTCACCTCCTGGCGTGCCCGAAGGCTGCCTGCTTATACTCAATAGTTCAGCAAGTCCCAGCAAATAACTTTGGCCTAGGCCAC